GCTAACAAGCAGACCCAAGAAGGCAGGACATTCCAGAGGATGGATTTATATTTATAAATTCTCATCAGAAAAGCAAGTCAATAAACTTTGAACCACTGAGAAATTCAGCAAGCCAAATATTTCCTTCTATGTGATATTTTAAATGGGAAAAAAGTCACTTTAACAGAAAAACAAAATAGAATCAATAAGGAGGAGGACAGACATTAGTCTCAATCTGCTGGTGAACCGAGGAGAAAGGAGACAAATAGAGACGAATACAAACACTACAGGTCAGCGTCCAAGGTGATTCCAAAACAGAAAATCTTTGAGAAAGAGAAACATGTTGTGAGGCCGTATCTGTAAATAAGGAACAATTTCTGAGCAATAAAGAAGTTACAGTTTGACCAAGATTTAAGGGACCCATCCTTCCAGTAAACCTCCATCTGATGTTTATCCTCCTTATTCCCAGAAGGAAGCAGAAATGAGAGTTTATAGCTTTATTTTCTGGACACAGAAACACAGCAGTGGTCATTTTATCAGTTACCAGCAGCTCACTATGAAGCTTTTCTGTTTACTGGTTTTTCTGGGATTACATGGAGCTGCAGCAGGTGAGAAAATAATGCTTCAAATTATCTTTATGAAGATTCAGCATATTTACATGTTTTTCTATCAACAGGAACAGTGAACTTCTTGGTACATTTGCCCAATCTGACTAATTTTCATTCAAGATCTCAGGGATTAACTCAGTGGTTCCTAATCCTGGTCCTCAGAGACCCCTGACCTGCATGTTTTAGATGTGTCTCTGTTCCAGGATACCTGATTTAAATCAGAGCTCCTCCTTTCTGGTGTAACAAGGAAACACCTAAAGCATTCAGGACAGGGGTCCCTGAGGAACAGGGTTGGGAATCATTGGATTTTTTTAATCTGGCAAATGCTCTGATTTAATGTAGAGCTTTTATATACTGTACTTTCTGAACACCAGCTCAGCCTATGCTGACGATAGCTAAGGTGCTTAGGGTCCCAAAGCTTCACAGGCCTCCTATACATGCTTTAATAAAAAATAAAAAAATATATTTAAATGTTTATACATTTTTTTTTTTACATTTGATAGGATTCTTTTAGCATGAACGTATTGAATCGACCTTAACTTGCTTAAAATTTTAATAAATTGGCAGATTTAACTTTAAAGCCATTTGTAGCTTTTGTTTTCTAAATGCTTTACAGATAAGGTCACTTTCTAAAGAACAATCATTGCTGATTATACTAAATATTTTCATTTATGTATAAATATATACACAAAGATCTCAGCTAATAGTAACCAATTACCCATAATCCCTTTCTGGCTTAGCCAGTTAAACCAGTCTCCTCTACCAGATTCCTCCATTTCATTGAAAAAATAAATAAATAAATAAATACTGAAACTAAAATAAAGTTTCTCTTTTGTTGCAGACACCATCCAGCCTATTTTAGACTAAGAAATCATTTTATATCTGTGATATTATTCCAGGAATGTGAAATTATTTCTAATTATTATTAAATTATTGGACAGCAGCTTGGGGAAAAAAAACTTCTTCTTAACCTACTGTTTTCTGCAAGAGCAGGATAGAAAAAACTTATTAACTTTCATGACTAATATATACTGTAAAAACAAAACTCATCTAAACTGCGTTTTTGTTGCTTTCCTTACAGTGACTCACTCTCTGCAGTATTTCTATACTGGATCTACTGGAGTCCCAGAGTTCCCATCATACGTGTCTGCTGGGTACGTGGATGATGTTCAGATCAGTCACTGTGACAGCAGAACCAACAGGAACGAACCCAGACAGGAATGGATGAACTTTCCTCATTACTGGGAGAGTGAGACTGAGATCTGTTTGATGAACCAGAAGATACTTGAGTGCAGCATGGAGAGGGTGAAGCAGCGCTTCAACCACACTGAAGGTTAGTTCATCTTCAACTATTATTGGATGTTTAATCAGAGATCAACCACAGCTGCATAAAATTACACAGACTCCAAGATTGTGTTTCAATTTCTTAACATTGTATCAGTTAAGAGGCAGAAAATAAACTATAGAGACAGGATTATTAATCTGACTTCACCCACAGTCATTTTAGTTATTAGTGACTCCAACAGAGACGCATACTTTAACATATAATTTTCAAATGCCTACTTTCTCATACAAATTTAAAACGAAACCTTATTGATATTTAAAGTTTTAAGATCAGTATTCTGGGTATTGATACAGGAGACGATCAATAAGTAACGCCCCTGACCCGCTTCCAGATGTTTGATCGAGCTGAAATTTTGCATGTGAAATTATTTAAATCTCTATAGATTAAATAGCAAATTACAGCTCTGAACAAATTGTGGTTTCTGATTTACAGGTGTTCAAACGGAGTAAAGTCTGTGTTTTTGCATTTGAAAGGACGCACACAACAAGAGACTTTTGATCAAATGAAAATAACTTCTAGTAATAATGTCCCATTATATAACCTTTTAAAACATTTTGCAAGATTTCATAACAGGCATCATCATCATAAATTGCTTTAATTTAATCAAAAGTCTTATGTGGTGTGAGTCCTTTCCAGTAGATAAACCGGATCACTGCTCGACACTCAACAGGCTCCATTTCAGACTTTACTCAGTTCAAACACCTGTAAATCAGAAACCATAAATAGTTCAGAGCTGTAATTTGCTACTTAATCTATAAAGATTTACATAACATCACATTCAAAATTTCAGCTGGATCAAACATCTGGAAGTGGGTCAGGGGCATTAAACCCTCCTGAAGGCCCCCTGCTGGACTGTAGCCTCGTGAGACCAACCTGATCTCGCGAGCTTTCAAGGTTTCACTCGCTAATCAGTCTGGAGACTCTCCGTTAAAGAAAATTTGGAGCCGTTCCCCAAACGAACGTCCAATCAGCGTTGGCTTTGAGGCGGGTTGAGGTGTGAC